TCTCCTTGGGGGCGCTTCACCTTGAAGAGCCACCGACCATCGACTACGTTCACCCCAGGCTGGGGAACTGCGTCGACGTAAGTGCCGGTGGACCTCCAAGATGCCATCTCCTGCTCCATGGCAGCTATCCACTGAGAGGCCCAAGATCCCGAGGTGGCCTCAGCGTAGGTACGAGGAGTCGAGATGTGGAAGGCGTCTGGGTCACCCTCAGGGACTAACAGCATGGAGCAGAGATGGGGAGCAGCCTCGGAAAGGAAAGCGAGCTCGTACTGCCTGTCCTCTAGGACGTCACTGCCAAGGGCAGAAGCACCCCCGACGGACGGAGGACGGGCAGGGTCAGAGACCAGAGCGGTAGCGTAGTCAAGGCGGCGGGTAGAGGCGAAGTCAGCGACAGCAGCGACAAGCGCGTCAAGGAACGAGACAGGAACAGAAGGGTCGGTAACAAGAGAGGCAAGAAACCGAGGGACAAGGGGACGAGCGACACGGAGGTAGTCAGAGAACGGAGGAGGTGCAACAGCAAGCGACGAGGGAGGAGGTGACGGGAGGAGGGGAGGATGAGACGAGTGAGAACGGAGCAACATAGGGTGGGAGCGCAGGACAGGAGAGGCTGGACGGGCACGTGAAGGACGACGAGACCAAACGTGGGAGGGAGGTGTAGGGTCAGGAGACAGCGGAGGAGACACAGGAGGGGAACGAGGAGGAAGACGGGCCGGAGACGAGTCCGGCGGCAGGAACACAGGGCCGTAGACAGGAAGGTCCGCAGGCGGTGGGGGAGACACCGACGAGCAGTCAGGGGAGGGAAGGCAGAGCAGGCGGAGAGCGGAGACCGGCGGCGACGGCTGCTGCGACGGCTGGGCCGCGACCCTCGGACCGGCAGAACTCTCAACGGTAGCACCCAAAGAACCTACACCTCCAGAGCGAGAACCCTCTCTGGCACCAGCGGCACCCCCAGGTCCGCCGGGACAAACCACGCCAGGAGCCGCAGGACGAACACCCTCCTCAACGCCAGCACCCCCAGAGACCAAGAGCGGCGGCGGCGGCGACGGCGGCGGAGTCAGTGACTGCGACAGGGGAGGCGGAGACACCAGTCAGAGTGGACACACAACACGGGGAGATCGCGGTGAAGACGCGCAGCCACAACCCACGGGAGAAGAACGTCGGGCACGTCGGCCTTCCGCTCTAGGGGAAACACCGTGGTGTAGCGCGTGTAGTCGTCGACGAGTACAAGGAAGTAGCGCTCACCTCACGGTCCGGGGACGGGGGCAGGGCCCCAAACGTCCAGGTGCAGGGTCAAAAGGGGGGCAGTAGCAGGGCGCAGCGAGGAAGAGTGAGGAGCACGGCGGAGCCGACCCTCGACGCAAGGCGTGCACGGTGGCGCAGTCGAGGGAGGAAGGGCAAGGAGCGACGCGGGGAGACCTAAGACAAGACCGTGCTGGGACATGTGACGCATACGTGGCAGAGCAGGGTGACCTAGGCGGTGGTGCCAGAGAAGGGACGGGTGAGTGAGGGACCGACACGAGCAAGCGGCAGCGACCTGGGAGGACGCACCAACCGGGGGGGGAGCGGTGTCGAGGGTAAACAGAACGGACACCGGGTCCTGAGGGAACGTCGTAAGGGGGGAACCTGAGACAGCCTCAGAACAGACAGCGAACCGCTCGTGCCCGGGGAACGTGGTGGCGACACCGAGGTCCTGGAGACAGCCGACACCAACCAGGTTCCGCGAGAACGAGGGAACGTGGAGGCCTGAAAGGGAGCCCGAGGGAACTGCTGGACAGGGAAGGGACGTAGAGCTGCGAGCGACGACAGGACCCGCAGAGGGGTCAGCAAGAAAGACAACAGCAGGCGTAGCAAGCGGCGTGAGCGCGGAACGGTCGCGGAAGAAGCAGGCAGAAGCACCGGAGTCGAGAGTGAAGGACAGCGAAGCAGTGGCGGAGGCCGAGAACGGAGCCGGTGCAGAGACTAGGCTAGGCAAACTAGGCAGTCCTACGCCTGACGCAGCAGGGGAGGCTAAGCAACTCAACAGTGCAACACCTAAACTAGAGTACACAGGGTAATAAGATCCAGCAACACTAGAAGCGTCAGAATACAAGGCATGCAAAGCAACACCTATCTGATCCATGTCTAACTCAAAGATCGGCACGCCCTGGCGGAGCAGGCTGTGCCAGTCGAGGAGGTCCGGGGCTGGGCCGAAGCGACGGCGAAAGAGGTCGTCGAGGCGGCGGAAACAGCGGGCGGTCGGGTGCGGGCGGCGGCACAAAGTGCCGCGAAGAGGCCCGGTCTGAAGCTGGTACTGGCAAGTGACAGCACCGGAGCCGCCGGTAAACACCGAGCTCCGCGGGCCGCCACCACGGCCACTACCTCCGGAGGAGCCGGGCCAACCAGGCGGGAGACGGGCCCACGGCTGCGGCGACTGCTGCTGGGACGGCGGCTGCTGCTAGGACGGCGGCTGCGACTGGGGCTGCTCCTGCTGCGGCTGGGGCTGCTGCTCCTGCTGCGGCTGGGGCTGCTGCTCCTGCTGCGGCTGGGGCTGCTGCTCCTGCTGCGGCTGGGGCTGCTGCTCCTGCCCACCGGTGGTAGTCCCCTCAGGCGGACTACCGTCACCACCACCACCACCACCACCACCTGCGCCACCACCCCTACCTCCCTGGCGACCACGGCCACCGCGGCGCGAGCGCTGCTGCGGGTGGACCGCAGCAGCCGTCTCGGTGAGAGGGGTCGCCGTGGCGACCGCAGGCGAAACGTCAGTGAACGTGGACTGGGAGGGGGCACAGCCGTGAAAGATAGAGACTGCCGGCACACCGCTCGACTGAGCGATAGTGCGCTGGCGAGTTTCGATCTCGGTGAGGGTGTCAACAAAGGCGGTGAGGGTGAGGTCACCCGGGTGCTGGCTAAGGAAGTGATCGCGAGCACTAGCGAGGCGGTCTGGCAGGTGCATGGCGATAAAATAGAGCGTCATGCAAAAAGGGGGGGGGAGTGCAGTGAGCTAGGCAGCAGTGCTGGCAGTGCGATAGCGGGTCTCTAGGGCACGCATGTGAGTGGCAAAGTCTGCGACGGTAGAGAAGGCTGCAAGGTTAAGGAACAGCATCGGGAAGAGCAAGCGGCCAGCAGAAGCAGACGCGGGTGTGGAATAGCGAGCAATAACGGCGTCTAAGTAGGCTTTGGCCGTCGCAAAAGTAGCAAAACGCGAGCGCTCAGACACAGGGAGGGCGTGGCTAATAGCAACCTGAGCGACTGCATCGCGGGAGTCCCAGACCGCACAGGCAAGCGCAGCAGTAGAGAAGGTCTCACGGTCACCAGAGGAGGGGTCAGCAGGGAGGGGAGCAGGTGCGGGGGGGCGGGGGAGCAAGCCATCGACATGGACAACCAAAGAGTGGCCATCCTGGCGCTGACCTGTAAGGTGGCGGCGGAGATCGGAGAGCCAGGCGACGAAGTCAACCGTATGGCCCTCGGCGTCCAGTCGGAGCACGAAGTCAGCCATCGTGCAGGGTCAACGGCACAGCTCCACAGCTCCGCAGAGACACAGCGACGCAGGGACACGGCGGCAGCACTCTCCAGCACGGCGGCCGCGAGGCGCCCCGGCGCTGGCGAGCAGAGTAGACGGAGCTCGAGGTGGCACGGCAGGCCGAGCAGGCACGAAGAGGGGCCGGGCGGGCAGCGGGAGAGGCCAGGTAGACGCGGCGGGGCCAGGCAGGCGCGGCGGGGCCAGGGAGGCGCGGCATGGCCCGGCGGGCGCGGCGGGGCCAGGCAGGCGCGGCGGGGCCAGGCAGGCGCAGAGGGGCCAGGCAGGCGCGGCGGGGCCAGGCAGGCGCGCCGGGGCCAGGCAGGCATGGCAAGGCCAGGGAGGCGCGGCGGGGCCAGGCAGGCGCGGCGGGGCCAGGCAGGCGCCGCAGGGCCAGGCAGGCGCGGCGGGGCCAGGCAGGCAAGGAGGGGCCAGGCGGGCGCGGCGGGGCCAGGCAGGCGCGGCGGGGCCAAGCAGGCGCGGCGGGGCCAGGCAGGCACGGCGGGGCCAGGCAGGCGCGGCGGGGCCAGGCAGGCGCGGCGGGGCCAGGCAGGCGCGACGGGGCCAGGAAGGCCGCGACGGGGCCAGGCGGGCGCGACGGGGTATAGGCAGGGCGCGACGGGGCCTAGCGGTCGCGACGAGGCCAGGCAGGGCGCGACGGGGCCGGAGCGGGCGCAGCGGGGCCTAGGAGGCGCGACGGGGCCCAGGAGGGGCGCGACGGGGCTAGGAGGCGCGGCAGGGCCCAGGAGGGGCGCGACGGGGCTAGGAGGCACGACGGGGCCCAGGAGGGGCGCGACTGGGCTAGGAGGCGCGACGGGGCTAGGAGGCGCGACGGGGCCCGGGAGGGGCGCGACGGGGCTAGGAGGCGCGACGGGGCCCAGGAGGGGCAGGACGGGGCCAGGCGGGCGCGACGGGGCAAGGCAGGGCGCGACGGGGCCTAGCGGGCGCGACGGGGCCTAGGAGGCACGACGGGCCCCAGGAGGGGCGCGACAGGGCTAGGAGGCGCGGCGGGGCCCAAGAGGGGCGCGACGGGGCTAGGAGGCACGACGGGGCCCAGGAGGGGCGCGACGGGGCTAGGAGGCACGACGGGGCCCAGGAGGGGCGCGACGGGGCTAGGAGGCGCGACGGGGCCCAGGAGGGGCGCGACGTGGCTAGGAGGCGCGACGGGGCCCAGGAGGGGCGCGACGGAGCCAGGCGGGCGCGACGGGGCCAGGCAGGGTGCGACGGGCCCTAGCGGGCGCGACGGGGCCTAGGAGGCACGATGGGCCCCAGGATGGGCGCGACGGGGCTAGGAGGCGCGGGGGGGCCCAGGAGGGGCGCGACGGGGCCTAGGAGGGTACGGTAGGTGGGGGATTCTAACCTACGCGTGATACCATGTTAAAGTAAGAACTGAATAATGAACTAGAAGAGAAACCTAGAACAAGTACTCGTTGTTGTACTCACTAGAAGCATACCTCAGTCTAGCCTATAACTTCTACATAGCTAATATGTATAAGTTGACAGGGGGACCTAACCTAGCATGATACCATCTCAGAATAACGCATACAGGGTGGTTTTGTCCCGAGGAATTGTACTCTCTTTGAGCATGCACCTATCTTGCCTATAACATATACAAATATTTGTTGACACCATGGTGCCCCTGATTTTACACTTGCTTTCGCCCTTGGTTGCTTCCACCCTCACTGGCTTTCCCTAACCTCTCTCCCTAGCTTCGGCCATGTAACGCTTGGAAAGTTTCCAGAATGATGACACACGGGCTTGAACATGGCACTGATACTCGTACCGTAGATGCAGTATCCAGGTAACCGAGCAATGACCTTGCGTAGGGATCGACCGTCTACTTGTACCACGCCCTACACATCTCTTCATTCCACAAAGGAATTACAGCAGTAGCTAGCCAGCTTGCGTGCCACCAGTCTGCTGCAGGTGGTGTAGTTAACCTAGCCACCCCACCACAACACGCCCCCTCATCACTCAGCACGGCTCACCAACCTCCCCCCCAGCGCCCAGCCCTCAACGGGGTGGCGGTCACCGCCTGTACCCATCGCGCTCGTCCCTGCCTCTCTCCCTCTCATATCCTCGCCTCGGCTCTTCCCTGTCCCGCCGATCCCACTCCGAGTACCGCTCCCTCTCGTACTCCCTCTCCCTCTCCCGCTCCCGCTCCCTGTCTCTCTCCCGGTCCCGATCAAACCCCCTATCGCGGTCGAATCCCCTGTCCCCTCCCCTGTCATCCCGCACGTCCCCATACGTGCTCACAAGCCTGTCCCCACCGCCCAGCCGCTCAGGGCCACTGCTGAACCCCCTAGAGCCGCCATCAAAGCCCCGAGCGCTGGGGGGTGGCAGGCGGTCCACAGTGCTGGGCAGGCGGTCGGGGGCGGCGAGAAGGCGGTCGCCGGTGGCGGAGGCGATGCTCTGCTGCACTTTCTGCGCGATCAGGTGCTGTGCCGCCACCACCGCCTCCGATGGCCCGGTTATCGTCACCTTCCTGCGAGGGGGGGGGGGGACCGGGAAAGGGGACGATTGAGACGCGAGGCTTGGTGGAGAAGGCACGAAGGGGCAGTTGGGCTGCTGGGCTGCGAATGTGATGAAGAATGGTCAAAACACTTGCCTGTTTCTGGTTCCTTCGACATAGTCATTGCGGTCTGAAATCAACATGCGCACACCGGCTGACTGCACAGGCATAGGGAGTAAGGAATATTGCGCAATGGAATAAGGCACTTATTAGTAAATCACAATGCGCCATCAAAATCAGACAAATGACGAGGGGAACTGCAGGGGAAAAGCACAACTGGGTAAAGGTGCACAAGGTAGAAGTGTAAAGCTGTCTACTTACAAACAAGCTCAGGTACAGGTGCTTGTGTCCCTATCCGGCCACGTGCCCTTCAATGCCCGCATGCTCGTTGACAGTCGCACACACCCACCCACCTGCCGTATTTCATGCACTTGACCCCATAAAGCCTCACCTGCTGTATCTCATGCATCTAGCCTCATCGAACCTCACCTGCTGTATCTCATGCATCTAGCCTCATCGAACCTCACCTGCTGTATCGCATGCATCTAACCTCATCGAACCTCACCTGCTGTATCTCATGCAGCGACTTGCCCCCCTTGCCCACCACGGCGCCCACATGGTCGTCCGGCACAGCCACTATGATGGTCGTCGGCACTCCGCCACCTGGGGGCAGATGAGGAGGGCCCTGGGGATTGGAACAGGGGGGAGGAGCGAGGGGGGTTGGGGAGTCAAGAAAGAGGGAGGGCATCAGAATCGATGGACGAGAGGAAATGCCATGACAGAAAGAATGAGGGGATCTCTCGACAGATGACAAGAAATGGACAGCAAGAGAGTAGGGTTGGAGAATGTGCGACTGGTTTGTGACCTAAAACAGCGCAACACGACGTAGGAGCATGAGAGCACACCAAAATGTGGGAGCATGAGAGCACACCAAAATGTGGGAGCATGAGAGCACACCAAAATGTGGGAGCATGAGAGTAACACAATGCCGCCAAGCGATGCATACCTTGCCACGAGGGTCCGGCAGGTACGGGGGAAGGCCCCTGGAAGCTGCATACGGCGCTCCAAAGCCCCCACCGCTGCCATATCTGTCCCCTCCTCCGTAGCCCCCACCCCCGCCCCCGCCCCCGCCCCCATACCCAGCACCACCACCATAGCCACCACCGAAACCACTGCCCCCTCTCGCCCCATAAGAATCGTTGTAACCACCCGCACCACCGTAACCACCTTCCCTACCCCCCCCTCCTCCCGAGAACCCGCTGCTCCTGCCCTCGCGCCTGCCCCCACCCGCTGTCGAGGGCGGAGGGGGAGGCGGCTGCGATGACCCCCCTGCCGCTGTTGGGCGGAGAGACGTGGCGGGGACAGGGGTGACGGGGAAGGGATCACCAAGGGGAGCACGACGCACATGAGAGGGAGGGCAGAGGGCACGGGTGGAAAATGAGGGAGAGGACAATAAAGGCACCCGGTGGTGCAGATGGGAGGCGCGTAACAAGAGGGATACCAGAGGAGAAATGCCACGTGTATAACGACGAGAGGGAGGGAAAGGAGGGGGAGGAAGTGAAAATAAAACAAAGATTGAAGGCAGCGCGAGTGGGGAACGTGTGGAAGAAGCGAGTACGGGCGAACCACAGTCCGCAGAAGTGCAAGGCAGGGGGGAAGGGAGACACGGTGAGTGTACACGGGCATTTGAGCGTGCCTGTCCGGGAGATAGGTACCCGTGTATGAGAGTGGAACATCAGCGTATTGCACGTAGGGAGGGGACAGAGGCACGTCGGCGTATTGCGCTTATGTGGTATGGGGTCCTCTGCTTACCCGTGTAGGATAGAGGCACGTCGGCGTATTGCACGTAGGTGGGGTCCTCCGACATCTTGGTGAGCAGCAGCGCCACCGCCCGCAGCTTCTGCTCCAGCGTGCCGCCAATCGTGATCAGCCGCTCCGCAAACCCCGGCGCTGCCGTGTCCTGCGACGACAGCTTGATGCTCGCCTGCGAGTCCTCCACGAATGACCTATTCAGCCAACGACGCGCCCCAACGGTGGATGGTGAAGATGTAGCGTGATGACGTGGCATGACGTGAAGAATTCAGCATTGTGGCGCGAAGGAGGTCCACGTGGCATGGCGTGATGGCGCGACATGTGTGGTGAGAGGGGCGGGCAGGAGGAGGGCGTGAGGGGAAGAGTGGGGTGGGAGGGGAGAGCAGATGGGGGACGGTGGAGATTGGGGAACCGAGAGTGAACGGGGCGGAAGGGCGCGGGGATGGGAAAGAGAGGATCGTGGGAGTGGAGAACAGAAGTGGCGGGGCGGGGACTAGGGCCGCGGTGGGTGCATACACCAGGTGGCGTGGGGATCGGCGAGGAGGGGGGCATGGATCCAGGTGGCTGCCGATTAGCAGGGGGCGGAGAGGGAGGCTGGGCGACAGATGGGGGAAGAAGATGAGCATGAGCATGCGGAGGCCCGCCGCAGCACTCGCATGCTTGGCCTAGGGATTGGGACGTGCGGCTGCGGATGAAGAGTGGCGGGAGCGGGAAGGAAAGGAGGTTGGACGGAATACAATGCAGATGGCTGTGAGGATGCGTGAGAGCGCTAGGTATGATGGCCGCTGACAGCAGATGAACGGGCAGTGCTAGCAGGTTGGAGGGGTAACCCACGAAATGGTCCATGATGCATGTGGTGCTACGCCGTTGCATTAACACGTGGTGTTACCCTGTTACAATAGAGAGGAGCGGATGAACCGCACGCACTGTAAGGGTGGCAACCTGCTCTGGCAGATGCGAGGAATGTTGACGGGCACCGCATGGCAGCGGCGCCTACGCGCCGTTGGCATGTGGATTTGGAAAACGCAGCTCAAACGGTCAAGAGGGATCACGCGAGGGAGGCTGCGGGTGGGATGATGAGGCGGCGCGCGTGGGCGGAAGGACCTTTGGCTCTAGGAAGGTCCAGCGGTGAGCGACGAGGAACGAGTGCTGGACGGAGCGAGAGTGGAGAAGAGAAGCAGTAGCGAAGATTGGACATGATGGAACGGCGGTGTAGTTAAGTAAGAAGGTTTAAGGAGGTGGGATTGAGGAGCGATAGTTGCATCCCTGTGCAGAAACCCACACCCCACAACGATTCGTGCAGCGTTAGAAATCAGATAAATGAAAGAGAAGGGTTAAAAGAAAGGACGGAGGGTATTGCATTCTTACGTCTCCAACAATAATTTCGCAAAGCTGTGACTAGGAAAAAGAAGTAGCACCGGCTCGCGAAAGATACTAATTAAGTGCGGAAAAGACTGACCGGATGGTGGCCCCTGCTTTGCCGATGATGGCGCCGCACACCCGGTGCGGCACCACGATGCGCAGATCCAACTCGCCCTCGCGCGCCGTCTCCACCCGCCGGGGGTCCTGCGAGCACAGGGAGTCAGGAACGATCAATACTCAGGCATGGACGAAGGATAGTGCCAGGGGACAAAAAATACAAAGAAATAAAAGCAAAACATGGGAAAAATCGTTTACCAGGTCGAACATCTCGTGCAGTTCGCAAATAAACGGATGGATGTTCAACGAAAAAAACAAAAACAGAAATATAGCGGGACGAAGGGTAAAAACGAACGGAAAAGGGAGATAAGAAGAGAATGCGATGTGGCGATCTGTTGGCGTACGCACGTCGGCGAGCTTGGAGAGGATGAGGTGCAGCGCCGTGAGGATGGCGCTGACGGTGCCGCTGATGAGGACGATGCGGTCCGCCGTGGCGGGGAAGAACTCGTGCGCGCGCGACATGACGATCTTGGCGCCCGACTGCACCTGGAACTCCGAGATCACCTGCCCCGCCTTGCCGATCACCGACCCCGCGAAGTTGTTCGACACCAGGAACCGCAGCGTCGACTCCAGCGCGCGCACCTCCTCTGCGCGCCACGGCAGGGTTTCGGGGAAACACGTTACGAAAAAATGAGATTGGTTTTAGAGGACCTTAATATAATGAGCGGATGGGGTTGCTTGACTAGCTTGACATCGAGGGCAGTTATGAAACCCTTGCCTGTATCGCGGGTGTTGGCACGCTTCGCGTCATCCCGACGATCGTCCACGTCATCGTCAAGTTCACGCTTCACCTTAATCCTGGACCGATTAGGGCTTCTAGGGCTCGGCGACCTCCTCGGGCTTCTAGGGCTTCTGGGGCTCCTGGGAGGCGACGCATCCGCCATGGCTGTCAAGGAAGAATGTTTGATCGTGCTCCTGCAGCTGAGATATGACTCTTTGGCAATGGGTTTGTTCAATTGCTGTTTTTTTGCAGGGCAGGCCCAAGCTTGCGAGGTGGGGTAAAGTGGTGGCGGTTGTTTTTTTTTTTTTTTTTTGTGGAGGCCTAGTATACCCTTACGGCTGATGTAACGCCACACGCAAGGTAGACTCCGCGATTAAGCGAACGTCAGCGTTGCGTCGAGTTTGCGTCAGTTTTGCCAGGGAGGGAAGCGAGGGGGGTGTTTCCCTGACATAGATGCCATCCGTAGATGGACCTGTTCTGCAGGCATGTCCACGTAACTAGGTTCGGGTACGTTGTGCCAAGTTTGGGCGAAACTTTGCGGGCTGACCCTCGATCTGAAGCAAAATATCTCGCTTTCGGAATGTGCTCTGAAGTAATCTGCACTTTCCTTTTTTGCTCGCAGAACGCAGCCAGAATCTCTAAGCTATTCTGGGAAGAGTTTGCAGCCACAGTCAAATATGCAATAAACTTTTGAACACATAGTATATTATATCAAACAGTGAAATTGATGAATAGAGAGAGAGAGTACACAAACATATACCTAACTGTTGTACTCTCTAGAAGATGACCCTATACAGTCTATACAAGCATGATAACTAAACATGTTTGACACACCCCCTGGACTGCATAGGGGAATGTTCTAGACAAGCAGCTCAGGGTGGCACTACTAGTCCAGCCTCTGAGACAAGGGTCTAAAAGACCAGTCAGAAGGAGTACAGGCAAGGCAAGAACTAGTACAGGGCGGCACTACTAGTCCAACCACTGTAAGAGGACACAAGTCCAGTCTGAGTGTACACACAGATATATAGGACAGTACAGAGTCAAGGCCCGAGTAAGTGAGAGACTACAGGAACCAGACCAAGCTGTACACAGTGCCGCTGATGATCTTTAGGCGCAAGCGCCTTCGTAAAGATATCAGCTGTGTTGGCACCGGAGGCTAAGTGTACTACGCGAGCCTGGCGACGCTGCTGTAGCTCACGCAGGAGGAAGTACCGCAGCTGGATGTGCTTCGCTCTGCCCTCGAGTCGAGGCTCCTGACACAGGAGGATCATGGCCCTGTTGTCAGCGTACAGGACCGGGGCAGAGCTAGGCCGCTCACCTAAGTCAGTGAGCAAGAAGGTCAGCCAGCGGAGCTCCTGTACCGCCATGGCACCGGCGTAGATCTCGGCCTCACAGCTGGACTGGGCAACAGACGAAGAGCGGGTAGCTCTCCACGAGACAGCACCTGAACCAAGGCTAAAGCAGTAGCCCTGGGAAGACCTGAGCGTCTCGGCGTCGTCTGCCCAAGAAACGTCTGTGTGTCCAGTAAGGACCACTGGCCTGCGTCCGCCTAGCACTAACCCCATGCCCGATTTACTTGCAAGATAACGCAAAACCCTCTTAGCGGCAGACCAGTGCTGAGGTCGGTGCCTGCCTGTGGCCACGAAACGAGCCAGGATGCTGAGAGGGTATGCGAGATCTGGGCGAGTGCAAGTCATCAGGTACATGAGGCAACCCACTAGCTCAGCGTAAGGACCACTGGGATCTACCGACTCCTCAGGAACTGGAGCGGAGAGTCTGTGGTCCAGAGGAAGAGGGGTGGGCTGTGCGGAGGAGAACTGAAGGCCGAACCTCTGAAGGACCTGGCGCACCAAGTGTGACTGAGTCAGGGTGATGGTGCGCGCGGCTCTGTCCCTGGAGATCTGCAAGCCAAGGTAACGGCGCAGCTCTCCAAGGTCAGTGCAGGTGTGTCTCTTCAGCAGCTCTGCCTTCACGGAGGCCAGTGCGTCCCTGTCAGCAGTGGCAAAGACCAGGTCGTCTACGTAGACGAGGATGTAGAACGGAGTCGAGCCAGCACGAACGAAGAGCGAGGGGTCTGCAGAGGACGGAAAGAACTGCAGGTCAGCAAGGGTAGCACGCAAAGTGTCGTGCCACTCACGAGGCGCCTGGCGCAGGCCGTAGACTGGCCGCCGCAGAAGCCACTGGGTCCCAGGGGGGAAGGTGCCAGTAAAGCCCTGAGGGCGACGCAGGTAGACCTGCTCGTGAAGGCTGCCCTGAAGAAAGGCAGTGGAGAAGTCGAGGGAGTGAAGCTCGTAGTCACGCTGAGCCGCTACGTGTAGCAGCACCCGAAGAGTAGTCATCTTCGGGGTAGGAGCGAAAGTCTGAAAGAAGTCCACCCCCTCGCGCTGACTGAAGCCTCTAGCCACGTAGCGCGCCTTGAACACAGGCGGCTCTCCAGGAGGGCGCTTCACCTTGAAGAGCCAACGGCCATCGACCACGTTCACCCCAGGTGGGGGAACTGCGTCGACGAAGGTGCCGGTGGATCTCCAAGATGCCATCTCCTACTCCATGGCAGCTATCCACTGAGAGGCCCAGGGTCCCGAAACCGCCTCAGCGTAAGTACGAGGGGTCGGGATGTCGAAAGCGTCTGGGTCACCCTCAGGGACTAGCAGCATGGAACAGAGATGGGGAGCAGCCTCGGACAGGAAAGCAAGCTCAAACTGGCGGTCCTCCAGGACGTCACTGCCGAGGGCAGGAGCACCCCCGACAGACGGAGGACAGGCAGGGTGAGAGACCAGAGCGGTGGCGTAGTCAAGGCGGCGGGTAGAGGCGAAGTCAGCGACCGCAGCGACGAGGGCGTCAAGACTCGACACGGGAACAGACGGGTCGGTAACGAGAGAGGCAAGGACCCGAGGAACAAGAGGACGAGCGGCACGAAAGGAGTCGGACAGAGGAGGAGACGCAACGACAAGAGAAGACGGAGGAGGAGACGGGAGGAGGGGAGGTCGAGACGCGTGGGAACGGAGCAACATAGGGTGAGAGCGCGGGACAGGGGAGACAGGACGAGCACGAGAGGGGCGGCGAGACCAGACGTGTGAGGGCGGCGTCGGGTCAGGAGACAGAGGAGGGGACACAGGAGGGGAACGAGGGGGAAGACGAGCCGGGGACGAGTCCGGCAGAGGGAACACGGGGCCGTAGACGGGAAGAGGGGGAGACGGCAGGAGAGGAACAGGCGCAGGGTCAGGAGACGGAAGGCCGAGCAGACGGAGGGCGGACACAGGCGGGGACTGCTGCTGCGGCGACACAACACCAACACCAGGGCCACAAGCTGCGCGACGGCTACCTCCCGAACCCTCCACACCTGCACCCCCAGAAGGGACACCCCCAGAGTCCACAAACGGCGGCAGCGACGACGGCGGCGGCGGCGGCGGCGGCTGCAGCGACGGCTGCGACGGCGGCGGCGGCGGAGACGACGGCTGCAACGGCGGCGGCGGTGGAGACGACGGCTGCAGCAGCTGCGGCGACGGCGGCTGCGGAGGCGGTGGAGGAGGAGACACCGGGGGAGGGACAGACGGCGAGGACTGCGCCGGAGGACTACCAGAGTCAGAAGACTCGTCGACCGGGACGACCGACGGGAGGGGGGTGACGTGAGACACACCAGAGGGGGCCGGACGGGGGGGCGGGGGGGGGGAGGGGCAGGGACCACCAGGGAGGGAGGAACCAGGAAAAGGGGGGGAGTAACCGGGGGACCACGGTGGGGAAAGCGGCGGTAGAAGGAGACGGACTCGTCAAAGGTGACGTCGCGAGAGTGAAAGAAGCGGTGAGACGGCGGGTGGTAGAAGTGCCAGTCGGACGCGTCAAGGGGGAAACCGAGGAAGACGCAGGGGAGGGTGCGGGCAGTGAGCTTGTCCGTGCCAGAGGCACGAACGTGAGCAAGGCAGCCCCAGACGCGGAACGCAGACGCGTCACCAGGGGACCCGGTCCACAGAAGGGTCGGCGAAACCTGCGGCCGCTGGGGGTGCGGCCACAGGTTAAGCTGGTGAGCGGCGTAGCGCACGGCGAACGGCCACAGAAAATGGGGTGCACCGGCGTGGATCATGGAGGTGCGAGCCACCTCCATGACCAAACCGATGCGTCGCTCAGCGACCCCATTCTGCTGCGGGGAGTCCGGCAGGGTAAACGTCTGGGTGATGCCCTCCGCACGACAGAAGCGACCAAGGACACCTGAGGCAAACTCGCCACCCCGGTCGGAGTGAAGGCGCAAGGCAGGGAGACCGCGGTGGACACGAGCAGAGACAAGCCAGGGGATGAGAACGTCAGGCACGTCGGCCTTCCGCTCCAGGGGGAAGACGGTGGTGTAGCGCGTGAAGTCGTCGACAAGCACTAGGAAGAAGCGCTCGCGACGCGGCCCATGGACCGGGGCTGGGCCCCAGACGTCCATGTGCAGAGTCTGCAGTGGTGCGGTGGTAGGGGGAAAAGAGGAGGAGTGAGGGGCACGGCGGAGCCGGCCCTCGACACAAGGCGTGCACGGTGGGGCGGGGGAGGAGGGAAACTCGGGGAACGAACCGGGGAGACCAAGGACGAGACCGTGCTGGGACATGTGACGCAGACGTGGGAGTGCAGGGTGACCAAGGCGGTGGTGCCAAAGGAGAGTCGGGTGAGTGAGGGACCGACAGGAGCACGCGGCTGCAACCTGGGTGGACGCAGCTACCGGGGGGGAAGACCCAGCCGGGGACGGCGCGGTGTCAAGTGTGAACAGGCCGGACACCGGGTCCCGGGGGAAAGTGGTAAGGGGGGCACCAGTGGCGGCCTCGGTACAGACAGCATACCGCTCGTGACCAGGGAACGTAGTGGTGACGCCAAGGTCCTGGAGGCAGCCGACACCAACTAGGTTCCTGGAGAACGAGGGGATATGCAGACCTGTGAGAGTGCCCGAAGGAACCGCCGGACAGGGAAGGGAGGTGGAACTGCGGGCAACGACGGGACCACCGGAGGGGTCAGCAAGAGTAACTGCAGCGGGAACAGGCAGCGGCGTCAGCGTCGTGGAGTCGCGGAAGAAACACCGGGAGGCGCCAGAGTCCAAGGTGAAGGAAAGCGCAGCAGTCGCGCGAGGCAGCAGTGAAGCGGTGGAAGCACCAAGGCTAAGCAAAGCAGGAGATCCTACGCCTGACGCAGCAGGGGAGTCTACGCTAGGCACCGCTACACTAGGCAACACGGGGTAATAAGAGGGAAG